TTGCCATACCATCAACCACCTCTACTTACACAAGAAACTCAAGAAGACTTCATATGAGCTTCTAACCGGTAACAAACCAAAGGTGTCATACTTTAGAGTGTTTGGGTGCAAGTGTTTTATACTTAACAAAAGACCCAAAACCTCTAAATTCGCACCTAAAGTTGATGAAGACATTCTTCTTAGTTATGGGTCAAATGAGCATGCCTATCGTGTCTTCAACAAAACCATGGGTAGAGTTGAAGTCACAGTAGATGTGACATTTGATGAATCTAATGGCTCTTAAGTGGAGCAAGTTGATTCAAGTGTTGTAGGAAAGGAGGATCCACCATATGAGGCAATCAAGCAAATGGCTATAGCCGACATTAGGCCACAAGAAGATTGAGCCACTGATGATGAGGATCCCCAGGATGTTCCTGCACAAATTTCTGCTGACGTACTCCATCGACAAGGGCAACACTCACCTGCTGAAAATTAGCAGGGCGGTAGTGCCGCTCCTGAGGGCGGCAGTGCCACCCCATCCACCTCAGCAGTAGCTCAAATTCACAGATTTACATCTTCTCACCTAGTCAAAACATCCAGCCAAATTTCATCTCAACTTACCTGTTTTGGCTAGGGCGGCAGTGCCGCCCTTAACTGACCGTTGGACCCGAGGGGTATTTATACCCTTCAGGCCCGGCCCACAACGGTCATCTTCTTCACTGAGTCATTCTGCTTGAAACAAGATAGAACCAAAGCTCACTTCTCTCCTCCATTGTTGCTCCACCATCCCTCAAGCAAATCCTTGATTCCAACCATCAAAATTTGAGAGAAAAGGCAGCAAAACTCGATTAGAGAGCAGATCCACTGATTCCCAAAGTCTAAGAGCATTTGGTTCACGTTTGACCGGCGGTTCTTGGGTTTGTTACTCTTAGAGCTTGCTCCTAGCCAGCTAGGCGTCGCTCTTGTGCTTACCAACCCGTGTGGCAGCCTTGGGAGGTTTGTAACCTCATTCAAAAGCTAAGAAATCACCTCTCACTTCAAGAGTTCACTCTCTTGATTTGAGAACGAGGGTAAGGCAAGCCTTTGTGGCTTCCTCAACAACGTGGACTTAGGCAAACCTTTGTGGTGAGCTAAACCATGAGATAAATCTTGCGTCTCGCGTGCTTCATCTTGTTTACTTGCTGGTTTAGCTCATTGCTACCTGTTGTTAGGGTTTGGTTGCTCGATCCACTCTTGTGTGGAGTTTCTGTGGTATTTAGTCTTCGAACTGGATCTTATTTGTCTATTGCAGGATTAAGCAATTAGTGGGGTTAGGTTCATGTCTGTAAAATCTCAGCTGTGTTAGATTTATTTTCGTAGAGCGGCAGTGTCGCCCTGAAAGGCCGACAGTGCCGCCCTCTGTTCTAACAGAGTTTTGAGTTGAATTTTTACAGGCCTATTCACCCCCATCTAGACCTCCTTTATCTTCCTATAGATCCTACACATCCCAACCCGTGTCGTTGCCAAGGCAAGTGACCATGACTCAACCACCACTGAGAGACCCAAGAAACACAGGTAAATATGAACAAAGGGTCTCTCTCATCAAACCGTGGAAGCGGGCGCGGCCAATCCGTGATACAAATCTAGAGATCACCACACCGGTGACATCTCTAGTAAGCTCGGGGAGACCTTGCTACCATGGAAGGATAGGCGATGCGCCGACCTTCCCATAGCGAGACAGCTCTCAGGGCACGGGGGTGTAGGGGCAGGCCCGGAGGTCGCGCCAGCTCAAGGGCGCCTGAGCAGGCACCCGTGGGCGTTCGCGAACACTAACAGAGCTTAGGTAGGAAGCCTCTAGATTAGGACAATTCTGTCCCGGTAGAGACAGGATTGCTTGATCCTAATAGAGCATGCGCCCTACGGGCACGACTCCCTCCTTTTGCAAATTCCCTTCGGGCACCAGACGGAGGAAGGAGCATCGCCAGCCCTCGGAAGCCTCAGAAAGACATGAGTTCGGGACCTTGTGGCCCCCCCCAGTCTCCCACATTTTTGAAACCCATCGAAAAGGAGACAATGATCAACTCGTCGCCATAGATTGAGAGCAACCCAAAAAGAGAACCTTTACTTATAGGCCCTAAGGAGAAGCAAGTAGCCAAAACCCCCCTGCACCGCGTGGCAAACGATGGGAGGTCTCAGCCCACGCCGAACGCCTGTGAAAGACGGGGATGCCGAGACTCTCACAAAGGGAAGACAGGTACAACATTGACAAGACCGCTCCGCCCCGCCTGAGTCACAGGCCCCAACGCATGGTACAATAGCGCGGCAAGACTCATCAGTCATGTATCGCGTCATCAGGACAGAACAAAGCGCAAAGGCCACCTACCGCATTAAAAGAGTCAACCCACAAGGGGTCGGGCAGCGAAGCTCGATGAAGTCCCGACCGCGCGCCCATACTCCACCGCACATCCGTACCAGCGCTTTCACGATCACTTCATGATCGCGAAAATGCTCGGGGGCTACTATCGGGGATACAACCCTAGGGGTCTCAAGGCACCGATTAGTCAGTAGGCCGCGTGGCCCGCCATGTGGGATCACGACCCCTTCTCCCAGCAATAGCCGCGTGATGCTCAAATGTGCAACCTCTCCACCGTCACGACCCCTGGGAGGGACAGAGAGAGTTTGAGCCCTGCTTCTTGACGTACCTGCCCTGACAAAGCAAGAACACCACACCGACCCCCAAGGACCGATGTGATGACAGTCCCCATGGTTCGATGGGGCACCGTCCCAGCACCACGTCGCACGGTGGTGACCACGGATACAATGCCCACCGTCCAAATACGGACCGACAGGACACATGTACGATCCCACCCACTACGGGATGGGATCCATGACAAGGGTCTTGACCTAGAGATCTCCCTGGCTAGTGAAGAGCCCCGACCCCAACGATTAGGGTCGTGGCCCTCAGCCCCACGAAGCGGCCAGGCGAACAACGACCCGAGGCGTCTACCTACTACGGGTACGACGTCCCGGGGAATCTGGAGATGACGGCGAAGACCATGACGGATGCCGCGTTGCACAGGATAGCTGACAAATTATCACCGTGGCTACAGTGCTGCCACGGCCAGCACAGTAGCACCACGTCAGACCCTACCGCGACGTGGCCACAAGACCATGACGATTGCCACGCCTGGGCGAGCATCAGAAGACGGCGTAGCTTGCAGGCCAAGTTAGCTAGGACCTCCCTCAGGCTCTCGACCCTTCGGTCGGGGGAACGTTCTCTTTGTAACGAGCCCTGGCCCCGAACTCAATATAAGGGCAGCCAGGGCTCCCATCGACACATTTTTCATCCTCTGCCATTCCATCCATAACAGCAGGGCTCTTGGAGCTTCTCTTCGGGCTGCCCCTCGTTTACCATAGGTTTTACCACCTCTTTCACTATTCTGGCACCCCCATTGTAAGAACTTCAGAGCATTCAAGCGAGGAACACGCACTCAATCTTCTCTGAGACTAGACGTAGGGCTCCGGTCTGAATCAGTATAAATCCTTGTCTATTGGATGCTATCATCGTCTTCCTAGAGCAGCGCGACAATCGTATAAATTTACTAATCCGATTTACAAAACATCGACAATACCTCATCCATATACCTGGATTTTGGGTACCAGTTGGGTTGAAGTATGCATGTAGAGATAGCACTGCATAGGGTCGAGCGCTCTCCCATCCATGTACTGGTATATTGGGTGTCGGTGGGTCGAGCTCTGCACATAGAGGCAGTGGCTCGAGAGATGGTGGCACATGGAGCGAGTAGGACCGGAATAGGGTTGTAGTCTCGTGGTACATGATTGTCAAGGCTTGGTGTAAACAGCAAAATTCCTCTCACTATGACGGTCCAGAGAATCCAAAAATAATTCCAGCAGATTGAGTAGGATTCTTACTTAGGGCAGCCCCTATGCAAGCAAATAAGAGTAGTGGTCTCAGCTAAAAGTTATACTACACGTAGACAACAAATATTTAGGGCGTGTTTGGGAGTGGTCCACGCTTTTCGAGCCCGCCCACGCTTTTTTAGCCAAACGGTTTACTACACGTAGACAACAAATATTTAAGCGGTCAGTGTTCTCCAACGCAGGATAATGCTTTTCTTTCTCGTGTGTACTGTCACTTTGTCCTCTCTTCTGGAAAGCTGCATTTACTTTTGCTGTACAAAAGCATCAGCTAGTGGCTTCAATCCTACGGCGCGGGGGAGCGACTGCTTCTGATTTGTGTCAGGTAAGGCTAATGTATCCTCTGCAGGCTTCTCTGAACCCTGCGGAGCTACCATTGATGTTGACCTGGACACCAAATGCTGATGTGGACAATGAAGCTAAAATACAACTTGGAGCGTTGGGCAAGCCCTTAATTCTGCTCAGAATATAATTTTAAGCGTATCCAATATGGCTGATTGACAAATTAGTTATACTGGGTGCGTTTGGTAGAGATCCAGATTCTTCTAGAAACTTTTCAGATACAGATTTTCTCCAGAAACGTTTATTTGTTGAAATAGAATCACTCGGGTGAAACCGTTTGGCTATTGATTCATATTCTCTTTAAAATGAACTAGAATCATTACGAAACACCTATTTGGGTGATTCTCATTCCAGTTCAAAACAGAGAAACGTTTCTAGGTGTTTCATGGATAATCGTTTCACTAAAAAAGGTGTTTGACAGGAATTCTTGTGATTCACATGAGAAACCGAAAAACAAAATCCAGTCCACACATCTCGGGTCGCTAGATCTGCTACGGCTCCCCCGCAACGTCGCCTCCACGGCTCCACTCCACCCCACACCCCACCGCAGACGAACGCAAAGGCGCGGCCTCTCCAACGGTCATTTCCTCTCTATACAGCCAAACCCCAAACCCCAAAGGATCGGTCCAATTCAAAACTCGAATCCTGCGCTCCTTCCCCAAACCACCCCACGTCTCATCCTCACAAGCCTCCCCGATCCCCCAGCCTCAACGAGATCCGGCGAACGAATCCCCATCTTCCCCGACCACCAGATCGCAGCGATGGAGCCGGATCCGGTCGCCGCGGGGGCATCCTCCTCGCCGCCGCCCTCACCAGCGCCGGCCACGTCCCCGCCGTCCTCGCCAGCGCCGGCCGCGTCCCCGCCGCGGCAAACGCAAGGTACTGTTTCTTAGTTCTCAGGCTAGGAGTTGGGTTCCTTTATTATCGGGGTGTACCCGGTTGGCGTGGCGTGCGTCTTCGCCTCACACGGCCGCCTGGTGTTTGCTTGCCAGATGACGATGAGCGGGGAGCAGTGGAGTGCGCGGATCTCAGGGGAGACCTGAATCCCGCTCTGCCGCCGTCGCCTCAGCAGGATACAGGTTCGTTCTCTTCGTCTAGACGCAAGCAGCAGATGGCCAGTAGGGTTTGCTGCGTCCGTCTCACGGTGGGGAAATTGTTCGCAGTTGAGGACGCCGCGGTGAGCAGCGAGGTGGAGCCAAAGAATGAGGCGATGGCAGGAGTAGGGGAGGCTCTCCGCAGCTTCATGGAGGTGAGAGCTCCTTTGGATGCCAATTCGTGGCCGTGGCGATTTGGAATTCTCAAGATTCCTGCTCGTGCTTATCGTAGATGTACAAATATCTGACCAATCAGAGAAATTGATTTAGAAAAATCTTAAAGGCCATGAAAATGTTGATTTCTTCTTTCTCCATTCGCAATGATGGTTGAACTTTGTTTCAAGAGCAAAGATGATAGGGCTGTTCGCTTCTGATTACATTGTGTCTTTTCTTCAGGAGTTTGGGGGTCCAGGAGAGGACTCTATTATCTTGTCACCGCGGCTGAAGGAGATTAGTACTCCTGGTCGCCCAGCTGCCCTCCGCTTCCTAGGTACACACAACTATCATACACATGCTTTGCTTAAGTATTTGAAGTATTCTGATTCCTATAATTATTTGTGGTGTTTGGTCTTTATTTGTGTGTAGGGGAGAAGTATAACAACCTCATGGAGAGATATAAGAAGCTGGTGGTCAAGTGTTCTGAGGAGTGTGAGCCCAGATATAATGGCCTGAAGAAGAAGTACACAGACGAGTGTGCAGAGAGGCGGCGTCTGTACAATGAGCTTATTGAGCTAAGAGGTAACATTAGGGTGTTCTGCAGATGCAGACCTCTGAGCTCCGATGAGGTCACCCGTGGGTGTTTATCTGTGGTTGAGATTGACCCAGAACAGGAGACCGAGCTGCAGTTTGTCCCTAATGAAAAAGAAAGGAAGCCCTTTAAGTTCGACCATGTTTTTGGCCCAGAGGATGACCAAGGTATATTTGACTGAAACTGTACCTAGCTGACTTGTCGAGTATGCTATTAGTATACATGTTTCAGTGTGATGAATTTAACCGGTGGTATTCCAACCTTTTTGTGCAGAGGCCGTGTTTTCAGAAACAGTGCCCGTTGTTAGATCAGTGATGGATGGTTTCAACGTATGCATCTTTGCATATGGGCAAACAGGAACCGGGAAAACTTTCACAATGGAAGGGATTCCAGAAAATAGGGGTGTAAATTATAGGGCTTTGGAAGAACTGTTCAGAATGTCAGAGAAAAGAAGTGCATCTGTTACATACACATTTTCTGTAAGCATCTTGGAAGTTTACAACGAAAAGATCAGAGATCTTCTTGATGAGAGCAATGATCAATCAAAAAGGTACAATTCCTTCCTTTCTCCTTTTGGCGAGAAAAGATTCATTGCTTAAACATGTTATCTTGTTGCAATTCAAGGTTGGATATTAAGCAAAATGCTGATGGAACACAAGAAGTTCATGGTTTAGTTGAGGCTCCAGTTTATAACGTAGATGGTGTTTGGGAGAAACTGAAGTTTGGTGCTCAAAATAGATCTGTTGGCTCAACCAATGCTAATGAACTCAGCAGCCGCTCCCACAGGTGAGGGCTTTGGTGTTTCACCTTGTGTTCTGTATTCATTCTAATTAATTAAGATCATAATCTATGATATACTTCCATTTTGTAAGATTGATCACTATCATTTAGATTCAGTTTTTGTCAATTATCATTACTATAGCACTGAGATAAAACATTTTGCCTCTTGCAATCTATTTGCAGTTTGGTTAGGGTCACTGTTAGGAGCGAGAATTTGGTGACTTATCAGAGGAGCAGAAGCCACATGTGGCTGGTTGATCTTGCTGGAAGTGAGAGAATAGCTAAAACTGGGGTAGAAGGAGATAGGCTGAAAGAATCACAGTTCATCAACAAATCACTATCTGCCTTGGGTGATGTTATATCTGCCCTTGCCTCAAAAAATTCCCATATTCCATACAGGTTGGTCCTATTCACATACTAAAGTATCTACTTTGCTTAGCTGCTTAAATTATCTTGGTCTGACCACCTCCATTTCCTTTTTGCTGTCAACTAGGAATTCCAAGTTGACTCATTTGCTCCAAAGCTCTTTAGGTAAGTTTTCTCCTTGTACTACTTACGTGGCAATTGCACTGTTCTTTTTATCAAACTGATGAAGTTTCGTATCCTATTGATTTCATTAGTGTACTAGAATGTACCAAAAAAATGACAAGGTGATGAACTTGCTTATTCAACATTTTTACAGGCAGAGATTGCAAGACACTAATGTTTGTGCAGATAAGTCCAAGCTCTATGGATTCAGGAGAAACTCTCAGTTCACTCAATTTTGCGAGTAGAGTTCGGTCTGTAGAACATGGCCCTGCTCGTAAGCAAGTTGATCCAGCCGAAACTTTGAAGTTCAAGCAAATGGTAATTGACTCTCCAATCACACTGAATAGTTATGACACAATATAGTTTGGTTATATTAACTATATAAATCTATTTCAGACTGAAAAACTTCGGCATGAGGAAAAGGAAAATGCACAGCTGAATCAACGCTTGCAGCTGATGCAGCTCAAGCATGCTTCTCGTGAGAATGTCTTCAGGACACTAAATGAAAAGGTATTGCCTCGAGTCTCATTGTATTGATTTGGTTGGATCCTACTGGATACCTACTGTCATGGAATCAAATGTTAACACAAAAAATGTTTTGTAACAGGTGAAGGATGCTGAACAAGCATGCAGAAATTATCAGCAACGGGTAAGTAGTACGAGTCAGTTATTTCTAGTTCCTAAAGACTGGTCCCCTCTGTGTATTCTAACCTGTGCTCATGAAATGTACTCCTATGTACAGATTAGAGAGCTGGAAAATGAATTAGGTAATGAGAAGAGGGCTTCTAGGGATTTTGCTAGATCCTCGAGGCCGCCACTTGTTCCAACGAGACAGAGACAACCTCAGGGAAGGAATAACAGCTACGTACCACCTTCAGGCCCTTCTAGATGGAGGCTCAAAGCCCCCACAATTAACAACAAAGAGAACATTCCTGTGGCGATGAAGAAACCAAATCCTGTGGATGATCCTAATAAGGCTGTTGGCAGAGCAAGGCGCGTTTCACTTACCCCGGTGATGCGACAAATCCCCATCCAGCCCAAGAGGCGATCTTCGATGGCAATACTACCTTCTGTGAGGGAGCATTTTTCTGTGCTAAACGAGAAGAGAGGAGGGTCTCGACTGCCAAGAGCATCAATCGCGACATTTGGTGTGAATTTGGTTCCAGGAACACCCCTAGCAGGACATGGTGGACCTGTTTATGCTACCCCAGATGGAGCAAAGTACAGGAGATTTGATTTAGGAAGCAGCAGCAAGTTCAGAAGCCCTCCTCCAAATGTCGGCATGTGGAACAAAATGGTCACACCGCAGCAGAAGCTGGGAATGGCACCGGCAGGAGGTCCTGCAAACGCAGCGAAGCTGTGCTTCAGCATCCAGAAAAGAGTTACGCCTCCACGTGTTCGGGCAACTTCTGGTTTAGGCATCTTCGACGCAGCTCTGCGTGAGAATATGGCTGTGGGGATAACCGGCAAAGCGCGGCGGGTACTCAACGCCAAGAGAAGACAATCTGTCCTCTAACTCTGGAAGCGAAGGTACAGCAAATGTTTGGACGTTCAAACTGAGCTGCAGTGTGGTGAGAATGATGGTGTCTTAAGCGTGTTCTTAGTGAAACCGTGTTAGGACAGAAGATGTTCTTTTCAGCATCTTTATTTAAGTGGATTCTGCTTAGTTCCTACTAGTTGACATTGTTCGTGGAAGTCGTTGATTGTATTTGTTCGTTACTCAAAAGCTATGTTAACATCTTTCATGGAAGTCGTTGATTGTATTTGTTCGTTACTAAGAATCGATTGCTTTACAACTCTTGTTCAATTTTAAATCATGTTCATGAAACACCCAGATTCTGCCACGAACATAAAATGTTTCTTAGTGATCATCGATCACAGGTCTGACAATCACATTCCTGATGATTTCAAATTAAACAGCGTGGCCAGGCCCCAGTCAAACTCAAATTCACTACGCAAAAATTTGAACAGCCCTACTAACCAGAACAACTGAACAACTTAAATGTCAAATAAAAGAATTATCAGTACTTGGACCCACACACTTTTTCAAAACTATCTGTCAAATCAGATTTACCAGCTACAACCATGGACAGCCTGACTGCTGTACCTTCTCCGCACGAGCTCGTGTTTGCAAGTCTCATCGGCACTGCTGTTACAAATCAAGTGTTTCGTCACGTTGGCTGCTTGGACCTGAATTGGTCTCTCCAAAACAAGAACCAGTGCTTCCTTCTCCAACTGCAAGCAGTAGCTTCCGAAAGTCTCTATATCCACTTTGAGCCTGAAGTCCAGACTGAACAACAAATCCAGTTCAAGCATATTCATCTCTCTTGTGGTAATTCCTCCAACTCTCCCGTAGTATGCATTGTTGAAAAACCTGCAAATAAAATGTATCCAAAAAAGTTATGGGAAAACTTTCTTCGGTCTATCTTCGTTATGGAATAAACAAAACCTTGATCAATATTGGCTTTCTTTTACTTGAAGTGTGGTTATAAGTTCATTTTCCACAGTAAGGGTGGAATTCACTTACTAATCTGGGGCATATTGGCCATCAACACCTGCCCCTTTATATTCAACTTTCCTCACCTCATTACAATCCTTAAATTCCACCATATGCTATCGCCTGTTACAAATAATTGACTGATGCATTCCTATTAACTAGTGCTTTAACAAAAAAAATCTACTACGACAAACATGAAATCCCCCCGAAATACAAAATTGACAAATAACTGAGAAAAATAAGCCTACCATTTAGAGATAAAGAGGCTTCTTAATTCTTAATCTTATATAATATAAAAAAGTCAAATTGCTTAAATACCAAAGAAGATATCTGGCCACAAACCATGTAAAGTTGTTCTGGATGGTAAAAGATCATATTTGGACATTTCCTAGTGATGCTAGTTTATTGACTCAGCTAAGGTTGAGTTTGCATCTATGGTCAGTATCATTACCAAAGACCTGATAACAGTCTATGGCTAACAGTATGTAAGATCATACTTTCATACAAAGTACATATGTGAAAATGTAACTGTAAAGCTGTTATGATGGGTCCTTACGCATCATCTATGAATTTGGCAGCAACAACAACACTTGCAATAAGCAAGCGATGGACACTAAATGACGTCATGTAAATGTTTGGTTGCTGTAGATATCTCTCCATGTAGATAAGTCCCAACACAAAGCAAGATGGGCTGCACTTTGCATACTTGAAAATGCGTTCTGCATAGAGTTTTATACTAAGTTCAGGCACCCTCTGACCATGAAAGATAGTGGTTGATTCCTTTATTTTACTTGAATCTAGTAACTCTTCATTCTGCTGAACCTTCTTGTCAAGATACGCTGAGAGAAGCAGCAGAACCTTTGGAAATTCAGCATTATCTTTCTGTGAGTGGGATACTGTCAAACCCAAGGACAAGTAGCTCTCCAGTTCATCACCAGCGGCAGTTGTAGGTGACTCCATTGTCATAGGCAAACATTAATGCTGTAAAGACAAAGCAATTCATATTCAACAAACGTTCTGTTGATGGAAGGGGCAATATAAGTAAAGAACTTAGATACTGATGCACACATTACAAACAACTAAATTTGGATAAGAGACTTCAATATCCAAGCACACATAAAAGCTTCATACGTTTCATCGCTTCCCATAACATGCAGGGTCAAATGTCAAATCCATGTGTGTTGCGACAACATGCTTACAAATATGTTGCTGTGAGCAGGAACATGGGTTGCTGCAGTTTTGTTCTCTTTATGTCCGCTTTACTTGTAACCCCATTTTGAAGTCTAGTTGTTCTCTATGAATGCATGTGTTATGTGTACCCCATACAGACAAATAATAACATCATGAGGCTGGTCCAAATTAAATCAGCACTGCCAAGTAGGCAAGCGCCAACCATAGCAGGCAAAGGAAAAATAACATGTAACATGATTTAAGCATTGCGCGCATGGTTCTCTACTGCCCTGAGCCGAACAATGGGCTTTCATTCCCTCACATGAAACAAGAAACGAAAAGGCAAATAGTTCCAGATATACACAAACCCAACTCCTGTCTTGGCATCATCTACCATTCCGAAGAATATCTGGCCAACTGACCACCTTTATTTCAAAATCTCTAGCTATAAAATAAAAAAAAGGAAATCACACGGAACAGCAAAGAGCTGTTGAGATGCACAAATCTCACACCATTTCCCGCAAAAAGATCGCACCACACGACCTTCAAATCTAGAGTATTGAGCAATCCCGTCGCTTTTGCGCACCTAGATTTTGTCGGCATCGACACCGAATGCACAAACCTTGCACGAAATTAGGGGAACAGAGACCGCAGCGGGTACCTGAATGGCCACGATTGGAGCAAATGAAAGCCCTCCGCCGCTAGCAAACTAGCACGTTCTGTAGCTAGAGATCTAAACCAGAGAGAGATTTCCTTACATAGTGCTCTAGCAGTGTAGCTGTATCTCGGGAGAAAGCAGCCGGGCTTCAGGTCCAACTCCTCGCCGCCGTCGCCGCTGTCCTTTCCCCCAGAAGGAGCAGGCGCTCCCCGGATGCTGCTGAGGCAAAGACGCAGAGTGCTACTCGAGAGAGAGAGAGAGAGAGAGAGAGGGTATTGAGAGGGAGAAGGGCCACTCACTGTTCGCCACAGTGGGCATTATCCCATGATAATGATAGATATGACACACAATTATGTGGCTGTTTGTAGCTTGCCTCTTAAGACTAACAAAAGCCATCTTAGCTAAAACTAGTACGTGTAATAATTACACACAATAGGTAATAAGCAGTTAGAGAAGCCGGGGTCAAGTAGTGGCAGTCCACGTCACCATGTGACGAAGCACGAAGAGCACGCACGGCTTGATCGAGCTTCAAAGCGGTGCAGTCGCTTTCGTTCGGTTTGGTTCTTCCTTATCCGCTGCAGCAAAATATTCGTGTCGGTTTTCCCACCTCCAAGATATTCGTGTCGGTGCAAGGAATCCGGTCTTTGAGAGAGACAAAAGGGCAAAAGGCAAAGCGTTTATATTGGCACAATCCTCCCACAACTCGGTGCTTCGTGACGATGTTGCTGTAGTTGCTATACAGATAGATAAATATTTCTTTTTGAAACGGATAGATAAATATTTAAGTGAAGAACATAACATAATTAAGTTTAACTAGCAAATACTCTCTCTATTCTTATGAAACTTTTATCATTTCTCTTCATCAATACAGTGTTATATTAGTATATTTAATAATCATAAAACTCTATAAAACTTCCATTAAGATTAGCCTTAGTATATGTTTCTCTATTTTTCTTGCCTTGCGGTCAGAGCGATTTATGTATGGTCACGTTCATGGACTAGTCCGTTCGATTCTCACTTTTTTCCTTTTATTTTTTATTTCTTCTCTATCGCAATTTATTTTCTCACTATAATATGTATATTTTTTTAAAAGACGTTGGACAACAACAATTTACGTGTACAAGTTATAATATTCATATAATTTATTATGTAAAGTTGTATTTATAAAAGTTATGTTGAAAAATTGTCATGAATAAGTTTGCCTTATGAACAAGTGTTATACTTCCAAAGTTATATAAAAATGTTATCATGACAAGTTATCTATAACATATATTAAAAAACATATTAACCAAGTTATGTTAATAATAAGTTATGTCTCATGATATATATTATACAAGTAATCTATAACATATATTAAAAAACATATTGACTCAGTTATGTCTCATAAAATATATTATACGTAAAATTATGTGTGCAGCCTTATAACTTTCTAAAAACAAAGACTTATAAAAAATATTTTTTTTAAGGAAAAGTTGCGGGATTAGCCAGCGATGATCAGTGGCTCTGCCTCAGACTTTGAGCAAACCTTATCAGCAAATATCATGCATCTAATTGCATCTATGATGTTACATTGTTGTCTCGGTAAATCCAATCGGTGGTTCCACACTAGGAGATTAACGGACAGCTTTATCACTACGGGGGGTAATTTCTAACTTGCTCAAGCTTCATACTTTAAACAAATGCGGGCATACACTGAACTGTGAACTGGAAACAAACACTAAACTCAGAAACAATGCTGAGACCGACGAATTAGGACCATCCTACTACAGCCCTATCCCAGTGTAAGCTGGCCGATGCATGACTAAGACACAGGTTCTCTTTACCCATATCCTCTACTAAATCTTAGAAAAGTTTGTTACATTGCTGATGTTAATTTGAAGGACCCGGCCACCATGTACCCACCATAGATACCATCGAACGCTCAGCGCCAGAAACGTTACTGTTCAGGATCTCCAGCAACTTTGGTCAGATGACGGCGTCGGTGTCAATGAATTGGGACTCAAATCAAGTCTGTGAGTTCCTGTCAGCTTGGACTTGGACTTCTTGATGAACTCAGTGCCTTGGTTAGGAAATTGCGGAGCTCTGGAATGACACGCTGGATCAGCTGTGGAGAACTGCATGCCAAGATTGCGTGTTAATATTTGAGTTACTTGAAATCGTACTGGTCTCAGATCAAAGGCTATTAGCAAGAGAAGGTACCCAGCTCTGGTGCAGATCTTGTTAAAATGTTCCAGAACGTACAAGATGCATGTATGTCTCAGTGACACGGCATGAAAGGCTTCGGACAAGTCATACATGTCAGATACGTTATCTAGATTCACATCCTACAAGGCAAATAATGGCATTCAAATTAATATCTAATATGCAGTTTAAACAAGGAATAGAGAGTAGCTTTTCTAATCACCTTCGCAATAGTATATTCACATAGGCGTTTGAGGCCTTCTAAGAGATACTGATCAGCAGCTCTAAGAAGATCCTGTGCAATTTCACTGGTAACCTGCACTGACCCTGTATAGATAAATCTGCAAAACCAAAGAGGGTTTCAGACTTTAATCTAGCATACAGTGGCATAAAAAAGAAAAGAGGAAAAATAGTTGCAGATTCATCAACAGAATGAGAACTGTGGCCAAATGAGAAGGGAGGTCAATGACTTACTAACCTCATCATGAGTTCAAAGACCTCCCATCTGATATTTGGAATTTCAATGTCTCTTGCATCCTTTTCCTGGTTAAGAAAATGACCTTTAAATTAGACATGAGATTCAAGGTTTGTTCAAAACTAACATACTATATACAGCAGCAATATATCAACTATGGAAAGAGATCAACAGACTAAAACCAGCAAAAGCACATTATGTTGTGGCAAGTCAAAACTCACCCTGTACCCGCCATCAAACATTGCACGAAATGCATCTGAACAAGCAAGCAAAGCAATTCTGTGTGCATAGAAGCGCTTTCCTGTAGAAGAAGGGATTAAGATTATCTGGGACACGATAGAAAAGAATTATTTAAAGTACCTACTGATGAAATCACGGTCATGAAATAGTACCAACCTTCTACCAAGAAAGTAACGTCTGAAAGTGTTGAACTATTCACGTATTGCTCACCAAGATAAACCTGCAATGAAATATAAATTCAGTAACAATTGCCAGTGCCTTTGGTGTCCCAGCATAGCAGGTCATAAGCCCTGGTAAAGGAGTAGGGTTGTGTTAGGCGCGGCGAGCCAATGTAAAAGCTTAGCCACTTTAATGGAGATGAAACCCAAAAGAACTGTTGGGGCGTAACCCTCTTAGCGACGCGCCATGTCGGAACCCAGGTATGGTGTTAAATGAGCAAGGGCGGGGTCGTCACCCCCGTGACGCGCCGTGTCGCGATCTGGACACGGTGTCAAGTGAGCAAGGATCGGGTCGTCGCATTCTTAGTGGCGTGCCACATCGGCGCCCGGGTGTGGTGCAAAATGAGCAAGGGTCTTCACACATACCTCGGCGGGTGCGAAGGGTAACGAAGCTTGTCGAGCCAACTAGGATCCGTTTAGGTAGCTGTAATGTAGGGTCCCTTACAGGTAAATTAAGAGAGTTAGTGGACACATCGGTTAGGAGACGTGTAAATATCTTATGCGTCCAGGAGACTAAATGGAAGGGGCAGAAGGCGAAGGAGGTGGACAATACCGGCTTCAAGCTCTAGTACACAGGGACAACTTCAAATAAAAATGGAGTAGAAGTTTTGATTGATAAGAGTCTCATGGATGGTGTGGTGGAGGTGAGAAGGCAAGGGGATAGATCATCTTAGTTAAACTTGTCATTAGTGATATGGTCTTAAACGTAATTAGTGCGTATGCCACCAAGTAAGCCATGATGAGAGTGCTAAGCGGCTATTCTGGGAAGACATAGATCGCTTGGTTAGAGATGTCCCTAGTAGCGAGAAGCTCTTCATAGGAGGTGATCTTAATGGCCATGTAGGTACATCAAGTGCAGGTCTTGAGGCGGTTCATAGGGGGTTCGGATATGGTAGTAGAAACCAGGAGGGAGAGGAAGTACTAGACTTCGCCATAGCTTTTGATCTGATGATAGCTAACACTTTCTTCCGTAAGAGACAGTCCCATTTAGTGTCCTTTAGTAGCGGCCAGTACTCTA